CCTTATGGTCAATCAGCATACCCCAAACTCCATACACAAAGTTTTTCTCAGATTTGAAGCCGAAATCTATGAAAAAAGGCACTCAGAAAAATTGAAAAATTGATAAATCACCCCAAATTGCTTAACACGATTTTATCTCAGGAACTATAAGAGCAAATGAGCTGAAATTTCCAGGGATTGTAGTCCTTTAGTAGAATAGGAATCACTGAAAATTTCAGCTTTCTACCTATAATAAAAAAAAAGTTATGACCTCTCAAAGTTTTCCAAAATCTAAATCATAAGGTAGGTACCTTCTTACTAAAACGATGAAATTTCAAAATTTTTTTTGTCGAGATTTTGTATCCTAATGGTGAATCAACATCCCCCAAACTCCATACACAAAATTATTCCCAGATTTGAAGCCGAAATCTATGAAAAAAGGCACTCAGAAAAATTGAAAAATTGATAAATCACCCCAAATTGCTTAACACGATTTCATCTCAGGAACTATAAGAGCAAATGAGCTGAAATTTCCAGGGATTGTAGTCCTCTAGACGAATAGGAATCATGGAAAATTTCAGCTTTCTACCTATAATAGAAAAAAAGTTATGACCTCTCAAAGTTTTCCAAAATCTATATCATAAGGTAGGTACCTTCTTACTAAAACGATGAAATTTCAAAATTTTTTTTGTCGAGATTTTGTATCCTAATGGTGAATCAACATCCCCCAAACTCCATACACAAAATTATTCCCAGATTTGAAGCCGAAATCTATGAAAAAAGGCACTCAGAAAAATTGAAAAATTGATAAATCACCCCAAATTGCTTAACACGATTTTATCTCAGGAACTATAAGAGCAAATGAGCTGAAATTTCCAGGGATTGTAGTCCTTTAGTAGAATAGGAATCACTGAAAATTTCAGCTTTCTACCTATAATAAAAAAAAAGTTATGACCTCTCAAAGTTTTCCAAAATCTAAATCATAAGGTAGGTACCTTCTTACTAAAACGATGAAATTTCAAAATTTTTTTTGTCGAGATTTTGTATCCTAATGGTGAATCAACATCCCCCAAACTCCATACACAAAATTATTCCCAGATTTGAAGCCGAAATCTATGAAAAAAGGCACTCAGAAAAATTGAAAAATTGATAAATCACCCCAAATTGCTTAACACGATTTTATCTCAGGAACTATAAGAGCAAATGAGCTGAAATTTCCAGGGATTGTAGTCCTCTAGACGAATAGGAATCATGGAAAATTTCAGCTTTCTACCTATAATAGAAAAAAAGTTATGACCTCTCAAAGTTTTCCAAAATCTAAATCATAAGGTAGGTACCTTCTTACTAAAACGATGAAATTTCAAAATTTTTTTTGTCGAGATTTTGTATCCTAATGGTGAATCAACATCCCCCAAACTCCATACACAAAATTATTCCCAGATTTGAAGCCGAAATCTATGAAAAAAGGCACTCAGAAAAATTGAAAAATTGATAAATCACCCCAAATTGCTTAACACGATTTTATCTCAGGAACTATAAGAGCAAATGAGCTGAAATTTCCAGGGATTGTAGTCCTTTAGTAGAATAGGAATCACTGAAAATTTCAGCTTTCTACCTATAATAAAAAAAAAGTTATGACCTCTCAAAGTTTTCCAAAATCTAAATCATAAGGTAGGTACCTTCTTACTAAAACGATGAAATTTCAAAATTTTTTTTGTCGAGATTTTGTATCCTAATGGTGAATCAACATCCCCCAAACTCCATACACTAATTTATTCTCAGATTTGAAGCCGAAATCTATGAAAAAAGGCACTCAGAAAAATCGAAAAATTGATAAATCACCCCAAATTGCTTAACACGATTTTATCTCAGGAACTATAAGAGCAAATGAGCTGAAATTTCCAGGGATTGTAGTCCTCTAGACGAATAGGAATCATGGAAAATTTCAGCTTTCTACCTATAATAGAAAAAAAGTTATGACCTCTCAAAGTTTTCCAAAATCTAAATCATAAGGTAGGTACCTTCTTACTAAAACGATGAAATTTCAAAATTTTTTTTGTCGAGATTTTGTATCCTTATGGTCAATCAGCATACCCCAAACTCCATACACAAAGTTTTTCTCAGATTTGAAGCCGAAATCTATGAAAAAAGGCACTCAGAAAAATTGAAAAATTGATAAATCACCCCAAATTGCTTAACACGATTTTATCTCAGGAACTATAAGAGCAAATGAGCTGAAATTTCCAGGGATTGTAGTCCTCTAGACGAATAGGAATCATGGAAAATTTCAGCTTTCTACCTATAATAGAAAAAAAGTTATGACCTCTCAAAGTTTTCCAAAATCTAAATCATAAGGTAGGTACCTTCTTACTAAAACGATGAAATTTCAAAATTTTTTTTGTCGAGATTTTGTATCCTAATGGTGAATCAACATCCCCCAAACTCCATACACTAATTTATTCTCAGATTTGAAGCCGAAATCTATGAAAAAAGGCACTTAGAAAAATCGAAAAATTGATAAATCACCCCAAATTGCTTAACACGATTTTATCTCAGGAACTATAAGAGCAAATGAGCTGAAATTTCCAGGGATTGTAATCCTCTAGACGAATAGGAATCATGGAAAATTTCAGCTTTCTACCTATAATAGAGAAAAAGTTATGACCTCTCAAAGTTTTCCAAAATCTATATCATAAGGTAGGTACCTTCTTACTAAAACGATGAAATTTCAATTTTTTTTTTGTGGAGATTTTGTATCCTTATGGTCAATCAGCATACCCCAAACTCCATACACAAAGTTTTTCTCAGATTTGAAGCCGAAATCTATGAAAAAAGGCACTCAGAAAAATTGAAAAATTGATAAATCACCCCAAATTGCTTAACACGATTTTATCTCAGGAACTATAAGAGCAAATGAGCTGAAATTTCCAGGGATTGTAGTCCTCTAGACGAATAGGAATCATGGAAAATTTCAGCTTTCTACCTATAATAGAAAAAAAGTTATGACCTCTCAAAGTTTTCCAAAATCTAAATCATAAGGTAGGTACCTTCTTACTAAAACGATGAAATTTCAAAATTTTTTTTGTCGAGATTTTGTATCCTAATGGTGAATCAACATCCCCCAAACTCCATACACTAATTTATTCTCAGATTTGAAGCCGAAATCTATGAAAAAAGGCACTCAGAAAAATCGAAAAATTGATAAATCACCCCAAATTGCTTAACACGATTTTATCTCAGGAACTATAAGAGCAAATGAGCTGAAATTTCCAGGGATTGTAGTCCTCTAGACGAATAGGAATCATGGAAAATTTCAGCTTTCTACCTATAATAGAAAAAAAGTTATGACCTCTCAAAGTTTTCCAAAATCTAAATCATAAGGTAGGTACCTTCTTACTAAAACGATGAAATTTCAAAATTTTTTTTGTCGAGATTTTGTATCCTAATGGTGAATCAACATCCCCCAAACTCCATACACTAATTTATTCTCAGATTTGAAGCCGAAATCTATGAAAAAAGGCACTCAGAAAAATTGAAAAATTGATAAATCACCCCAAATTGCTTAACACGATTTTATCTCAGGAACTATAAGAGCAAATGAGCTGAAATTTCCAGGGATTGTAGTCCTCTAGACGAATAGGAATCATGGAAAATTTCAGCTTTCTACCTATAATAGAAAAAAAGTTATGACCTCTCAAAGTTTTCCAAAATCTAAATCATAAGGTAGGTACCTTCTTACTAAAACGATAAAATTTCAAATTTTCTTTTGTTGATATTTTGTATCCTAATGGTCAATCAGCATACCCCAAACTCCATACACAAAATTATTCTCAGATTTGAAGCCGAAATCTATGAAAAAAGGCACTCAGAAAAATTGAAAAATTGATAAATCACCCCAAATTGCTTAACACGATTTTATCTCAGGAACTATAAGAGCAAATGAGCTGAAATTTCCAGGGATTGTAGTCCTCTAGTAGAATAGAAATCGCTGAAAATTTCAGCTTTCTACCTATAATAGAAAAAAAGTTATGACCTTTCAAAGTTTTCCAAAATCTATATCATAAGGTTTTTATAGTGCAAATAGTCTAAGGGTGGAACTGATAATGCAAAGTCAGGGCAGTTAGTGCAAGGTCACCGAAGATAGTTCAAGGTCAGTACAACATCAGTGCAGATGTGGAGTTAATGTAGAGGTCACTTTTATGTGCTCACAATTTGAGCTGGGTGTCTAGAAAAAAATATCCAAAGTCTCAAGAGCCAATAATAATTAAAATTTGGATCAAAAGTGAAACTTGAAACACTAACAAATCAAGAGATCTGGCAACATGTAGGCAAATATTGGTCTTTGTACTAGGGGGAATAAGAGTTATACCTATTCTTTATTTTAAGTAAAGAATGCAAATAGGTTGCAATGTACTTTGTAGTACCCACATGAATTATAATTCAACACAGTCATGTTTTGAAATTATGTACTGCTGGAATTAGAGAATTTTGGCATCATCGCATTTCTATAGTCCTTGTTTCGAATCATTTGTTAGAATGAGTTATTTACAATAATTTAAATAACAGTGCAACAGCTGCAAGACCAGAACACATCATAATGCAAAGTCAGTGCAACTAGTGCAAGGTCGCTGAATATAGGTTCAAGGTTAGTGGAACATTAGCTCAAATGGAGAGGAGGGGGTTAATGTAGAACACTGTCACATGGTCAAATTTTAAGCTATTACTGGCTTTTGAGGACCTCTAGAAAAAATATTCAAGTCCTCAAGAGCCAATAATAATTAAAATTTGGATACAATATTTCCAACAAATCAAAACATTTGGCAACATGGAGACATACACTAGTTCATAGTACTAGGTAGCAAGAGTAATACCTATCCTTTACCCTTCCTATAGTGTGGTAAAAGATGCAAAGTACAAATCTTTAAACCAAGGTAATTATGTTTTGAAATGATGTACTTGGCAATGTCGCATTTTTATTGACTTTTAGAACTTTGACGTCATACGTAGTCCTTGCTTATGTATTTTCAAATCATTTGCAGATGTTATTAGAATGAATTTTCAATAATTTAAATATTATGTGGTTGGTGCAAGACCAGAGCAAACATAAGCGCAAGGTCACTGAAAATAGGTTCAAGGTCAGTGCAACATTAGTGCAAAGTGTTCTGGTTCTGAGTGTTGCTATTACAAGATCAGTGCAGTGCAAATACAAAGCAAAATCTAGTTTCAGCTAAAAGAAAATCGCACTTATTTGCACATTTTGGTTATAGATATAAATGTACAATCTACTAAAAATAATCTACAGTGGTTGACCGAAAAATACATTAAAAATAACCACCAGTTGCTTACCTTTTAAATTCTATCTTTGGATTATTTGCAGCCTAGACTCATGAAAATTAAAAAATCCAATGTCAATAAGGCAAAGGGAGGCAGCTTTTGGTATCCGGACCTGGAATGTGCAGACTCCTAAACTAAATATTTCTGTAGAATCAGGAAATGTGAAACTGCAAAAGAAAAATTGTCCAGGTGAAACAAAAAAATTGTGATAAGAAAATCACATTTTTGAGCTGTTTTTGTGTAAGGCCTAGTGCTGAATTTAATGGGTATATGAGGGGATTTTTATGGACTTCTTACCATCATAGGGGTTTTTTAATTTAAATATCCAAAACTATAAAAATCTTTTGTCTTTGCACTTTTCTACAAGAACTTGCTGCTTGCTGCTGCTGGCTGTGTTGCCTCTCAAGTTTTATTTTTTTGACACAAGTGATAGTGACAATTATCGACTTGTCAAAATTGAATTCAATATGGCGACAATGGACAGATATTATGTATTTGTAAGTTGTTTCTAGTATAAAAACTACTTTAATTTTGTTTGCATCTGACATGATAATTGTTGTAAAAGTTTACAATAATTATTAATAATTATTATAAAAGACTTATTATTATTGCAGCTAAACCGTTTGTAATTTGCTTGCTATAGGTCGCCATATTGAATTAAATGTCTCTTGTGACAATTATTGTAAAAAAGAAAACGCCTAAAACAACATAACCTCAATTAACTGTTCCCTTAGTCTAGTGTAAATAACACCGGAAGCACATTTTCCACTTTAAAAGCAAAAATAATTAATAAAAATGAATACAATCTTAAAAACAGCCATTCGCCTGCAAGGCTTGAAAGCCCTTTTAAATCCTGTGAAAAATTTGGGCACAAATATGAGAGCTCAAACATTGGCGAGCAGGAATCTTTGGTACATGAGCAACATGCAAAATGCATCAGGAATTCATAGTAATTTGTGTAGTTGCGGTTGCGGTAGCAGAAAAGGGGTGCACACAAAAGGTAATTTCATATATTTGCTTTAAAATTGATGATATAAAATGTATTTCCAGCTGAAAAAGAATTGGTAGAATTCCTGACCGAAGAAATCCTAGCAGAAAGAAAAGCCCAAAAAGTCAAAATGATCCCGACCGAAATTGAAGGTTTCAAAGCCAGCCTTGATGGGGCAGAAGTTACTCTTACAAAGAAAACTGATACGGAAACTATTAAAGTCAGTTTCAATGTTAACCATTCAGTAGATACAGATGCAGAGCCCGAAATGCACGAGAACATGGACAAACCTGAAATTGGAGAACTCAAGTCTAAACCCTCATTTAAAGTTGATTTGGTTAGAGGTGACACTACTGTTAGTGTTTTGTGCAGTTTTGTACCGCCTAATGAACAAGAGGATGGATACAGTAAGAATTTGTATAATTATTAACTAACTGTACTAATTTTGTGCCAACTGCGCTGACTTTGTACTAACTGCACTAAATCTGTACTAACTTATTTGCTGCTTTGCCAAACTTGACAGAAACAATAATAAACAAGTTGGTGACATATTTTTTTTGCAATATGGGTATGTGTAGCATTTTGAAATAGAATAAAATCCGGCAGCATTAGGCAATTCAAACCAGGTGACATTCAAGATGGCGTGGCGGCCACGCATGGGCCAAAAAACATAAAAAAATATCTAGTTTCTGCCCGAATTAATAGTTTAGGTGTCTAGCTAACAAATATTTTATTAAATAATGAAAATCAAAGTTGTAAGCAAAACTCTATGCAAAATAATTTAAAATGCGCATAAAAACATATTCAAAACAAACTTGCTTGACCGCCACGCCACATTGAATTTTCCTTTTTGACAGATGGATTGAATTGCCTAATTGCGAAATGAAGGATTTGGAGAGGCGTGATTATTCAGAGGCATGATTCTATTGGTTAGAGCCTGAACGACAGCAACAGTGGCGTGGTTACTGGTGAAACTCAAGAATTTTTTTCCTAATAATTGTTTGCTTTATTTTCCTGGTGTTTTTGGTGCCACTGAACCCAAAGACATGGTTGTCATCAGGCGGTGTCAGTGAATATTCTTAGGTTACGCCCAACTTTTCTTCCCCCTTTCGTCTCTACCAAGTTACCACTTGCCAGACTATAATTGACTCTGTATGAACTACACTGACTCTACACTAACTCATAATGAATTTGATTAGAGGAGTAGTTTCTCCTCTTCTGTGTTTTGTTTGTAATTTTTTACTATTGATAACTAATTGCACTGACTCTTTACTAACTGCACTGACTTTATACCAACTTCACTGACTTTATACCAACTTCACTGACTCTAAAATATATTGAGTCTGTATTAACTGCACTGACTTTGACTTTGTACCAACTTCACTAAGTACTGACTCTAAAATATATTGAGTCTGTACTAACTACACTGACTTTGTACTAACTGCACTGACTTTGTAGCAACTGCACTAACTGAACACTAATTTGACTGCCTCTACTTTGGGTCTGTACAAACTGCACTGACTCTACACTACCTCAAAGGGAATTTCATTGAAGGAGACACTACTGTATTTTATGTGTAGTTTTTTATTATTAATACCTAACTGTACTGACTCTATACTAACTGCACTGACTTTGTACGAATTTTACTGATTCTATATTGAGTCTGTTCTAATTGTACACTGACTCTACACTAACTCTGTTCTAATTGTACCAACTCTGTACTAACTGTACCAATTTTATGGATACAAAAATTAAAGCATTTCTCTAATTTAATATGAGAATTTTGAAACTGGAGTGAAAAGAAAAAGGAAAGAAGCTCATCATACTAAAATTTCAAATTTTTCCAGTGAAAAATACAGATATGGGAAATCAATGACCATCAACTTGCAAAATCCAAATTGAGCAAAAATGCATTCTCTTACTTTTTATTTTTTATCTGGAAAACTATACAAAGGAGAATTATGAAATTTTTAGGAGAGAAAGAGGCTAGTTAGGAGCTCATCATGCTAAAATTTCAAACTTTTTCAGTGAAAAATAACCACATGGGAAACCGGGGGGTCAACCACTCTGTAAAAATTTGTACACATATTGCAAAAGTGTCGGTATTGCGCAAGTATTTCGCGAAATTCAAGTATTTTGATGATGGTAATTCGAACTTAGTTTTTTGTGGTATTGCCGAGTACTTCGAAGTATTTGAAGGTAATTCGAAGTATTTCGAGGTAATTTGAAATATTTCGAGGTAATTTGAAGAATTCGAAGTATTTCGCGGTAAGCCAAGGTATTTCGAGCTATTTGAAAATAGTTTTTCTTTCATATACCGAGAACAACTCTTTATCACTTAAAATTGGAATATTATAGAATGGAAATTATATTCCATCTTCGAACAGGCTAAATGTGTTACATACTTTGAATTTACTGCAGATTAATCGAAATAAATGGAAAGATATAATAAGTACAGGGTCATCCAACGATGACTGAACAGAGGATTATTTTTGAGAAAATTCAAAATAGCCAATTAGAATTCTTCTCTTTGGAGAGTTTCAAAAATGATACCAAAAAATCATTTGAACCAAAAACCAAAGAGTTACGAGTACATGACGACGTGTTTTTGGTAAGGTCTCATTTTTCACGTCTATTCTGTAGAACATACATATTTGATATTCCGATTGCTTTTTTTATTTTAATTTTCTATACTTAATCATTTTAGTTAGACCTGTTGGATTTAATTGGTTCAATAGAATAAAAAACGTGAAAAATGACACTTTCGCAAAAATCATACCAGAAAAACACGTCGTTCTATTTAAGGAACAGTTTATCCATGGCATAAGTCTTTGGCTTTTGGTTCAAACGATTTTTTTGGTACCATTTTTGGGTTTCCAAAAAAAAAAAATATTCTAATTAGCTAGTTTGGATTTTCTGAAAAATACAGGTCAAGTCAAAATTGCCCCTGTTCAGTCCTCGTTGGATTACCCTGTACCTATAGCATTGTAGAACTAACAGTCACCTGCATCACTAACTATTGATTTAATTGTCTATCCTATGTGACCAAATAAAATCCATCACATCAAAAGACACAAAAATCCGAGCAAAAATACTTCTCTGCGATCTGCAAGAAGAATCGTTATCAACGATAAATTTTTTAGAAGTATTGCGGGACTTCGCATGGTAATTCGAGGGTATTTCGCGTAATTCGACGGTAATTCCATGGGATTTCGCGTACTTCGACGGGAATACCTGGTATTTCGAGGTAGTTCAAGGTACTTCGAAGTATTTCGGAGGTAATTCGGGCCAAGTGTACACGTATTTCGGGAAGTGATTGACCCCTCGTGGGAAACTAATGAACACTAACTTGCAAAATCCAAATTAAGCAAAAATACATTCTCTTAGTTTTTATTTTTTTTTCTGGAAAACTTTCCAAAGGAGAATTAGGAAATTTTTAGGAGAGAAAGAGGAGAGTTAGGAGCTCATCATACTAAAATTTCAAACTTTTCCAGTGAAAAATAACCACATGGGAAATCAATGAACATTAACTTGCAAAATCCAAATTAAGCAAAAATATATTCTCTTACTTTTTATTTTTTTTCTGGAAAACTTTCCAAAGGAGAATTAGGAAATTTTTAGGAGAGAAAGAGGAGAGTTAGGAGCTCATCATACTAAAATTTCAAACTTTTCCAGTGAAAAATAACCACATGGGAAATCAATGAACATTAACTTGCAAAATCCAAATTAAGCAAAAATACATTCTCTTACTTTTTATTTTTTTTCTGGAAAACTTTCCAAAGGAGAATTAGGAAATTTTTAGGAGAGAAAGAGGAGAGTTAGGAGCTCATCATACTAAAATTTCAAACTTTTTCAGTGAAAATTAACCACATGGGAAATCAATGAACAGTAACTTGCAAAATCCAAATTAAGCAAAAATACATTCTCTTAGTTTTTATTTTTTTTTCTGGAAAACTTTCCAAAGGAGAATTAGGAAATTTTTAGGAGAGAAAGAGGAGAGTTAGGAGCTCATCATACTAAAATTTCAAACTTTTCCAGTGAAAAATAACCACATGGGAAATCAATGAACATTAACTTGCAAAATCCAAATTAAGCAAAAATACATTCTCTTACTTTTTATTTTTTTTCTGGAAAACTTTCCAAAGGAGAATTAGGAAATTTTTAGGAGAGAAAGAGGAGAGTTAGGAGCTCATCATACTAAAATTTCAAACTTTTCCAGTGAAAAATAACCACATGGGAAATCAATGAACATTAACTTGCAAAATCCAAATTAAGCAAAAATACATTCTCTTACTTTTTATTTTTTTTCTGGAAAACTTTCCAAAGGAGAATTAGGAAATTTTTAGGAGAGAAAGAGGAGAGTTAGGAGCTCATCATACTAAAATTTCAAACTTTTTCAGTGAAAATTAACCACATGGGAAATCAATGAACATTAACTTGCAAAATCCAAATTAAGCAAAAATACATTCTCTTAGTTTTTATTTTTTTTCTGGAAAACTTTCCAAAGGAGAATTAGGAAATTTTTAGGAGAGAAAGAGGAGAGTTAGGAGCTCATCATACTAAAATTTCAAACTTTTCCAGTGAAAAATAACCACATGGGAAATCAATGAACATTAACTTGCAAAATCCAAATTAAGCAAAAATACATTCTCTTAGTTTTTATTTTTTTTCTGGAAAACTTTCCAAAGGAGAATTAGGAAATTTTTAGGAGAGAAAGAGGAGAGTTAGGAGCTCATCATACTAAAATTTCAAACTTTTTCAGTGAAAATTAACCACATGGGAAATCAATGAACATTAACTTGCAAAATCCAAATTAAGCAAAAATGCATTCTCTTACTTTTTATTTTTTTTCTGGAAAACTTTCCAAAGGAGAATTATGAAATTTTTAGGAGAGTAAGAGGAGAGTTAGGAGCTCATCATACTAAAATTTCAAACTTTTCCAGTAAAAAATAACCACTTGGGAAATCAATGAACATCAATTTGCAAAATCCAAATTGAGCAAACATGCATTATCTTACTTTTTATTTTTTTTCTGGAAAACTATCCAAGGGAAAATTATGACATTTCTAGGAAAAAAAAAAAAAGAGAGTTAGGAGCTCATTTATACTAAAATTTCAAACTTTTTCAGTAAAAAATAACCATATAGGAAATCAATGAACATCAAGTTGCAAAATCCAAATCAAGCAATCTCTTAAGTACATTTAATTTTTTTTCTGGAAAACTATCCAAGGGAAAATTATGACATTTCTAGGAGAGAAAGAGGAGAGTTAGGAGCTCATCATACTTAAATCTTGAGAATCAATTTAATGATAATTATTTTTTTTCCAGATGACGGTTTTGGCATTGACGAAATTAGCATTTACAATGGAGAATGGAACGAAAATGTCTACTCAGTATCAGGAGAAGTCCTGGATTCAGTAAGAGTGTGTATTTAATTGTATAGAAAATTTACTAGTATTAAACTTTTATTTCAGTACTTATACGATCTGATCTTGAACTACCTTGAAGAAAAAGGCCTGAGCAATGAATTTGTAGAAAAACTTTCCAGTTATAGTACAGCATATGAACACTCTGCTTACATAGGATTGCTGGAAGGATTATCCACTTTTATTTCAAAAAAATAGACATGTATATTATATAATTAAGTCAACTATGTATTAAGTTATGGATTTTTTTAAAAAATAAAACAATATAGCAAAGTATTTATTCATTAAAGCATGTTATCTTTAACAGGTGGTTTATGAGCTAAGTAAAGAGCTATTATACTGCTAAAGGCGCTTACAAGGAAAATAACATCAAACCATCTATGGTAGAAGTTGAATTGTAAGGCCCCTAAAACGATATTTTAGTTATTTTAATTTAAACATTACTAAAGTATATACAAACCTAATACTTGGGTAATAATTATTCTGTATTGTGCTGGCATGTTCATCCTAAGCAGCAACACTGAAGACACAAAATACATGCCCATTATTTGTGCCAGCATAAGAACAATTATATTGGAACTTTTGTTTGAAGATAATCTATTGAAAAACTACAATAATAATTATTAGGTTTTTAATTTAAATAAACCAAATATACATTTTACCTTTGTCAGAGTTAACAAAAGTCCTCTGATTGAAGTAATAACAATGCAGCCAACCAAGTAAAAAGAAATTTGTTGAGACCAAAAATTAACATCAAAATCAAAGCCCATCCATGTAACTGCTATTTCTATGCCTCTAGTTACTGGATCTTTTTTGCCTACTCGGTCAAATACTATATTGATTGTGCACTAAAAATTACTGTAAATTCAAAGTTTTCTCTTCTTAAGTTAGAAGACTTACAATAAATATTTTCCATAAACAATAACCAGAGAATATGTATCCTAGAAAATTGAAGTAAATCCCTTTCCAGGTCTTTGACCATTCAATTCTTTCAAGCATATTGCGATTTTCATGTACTTCTAAGAAAAGCTGGCGGCTCATTTCTTCTAAGCCATCTATTTCTAGTTTTAATTGGTTTATATCTGTAATAATAATTATTTTTACAATTCCTATGAAGTTTTTGTTATTTAAAAAACTAACTTTCATTACTCCTATTGCCTGTAACAGAAGAAATAATTCCCCAAATACCCTTTTTCCCTACAGCATCAACTTTCACATGTTGCTTTTTAGCTATAGCAATTTTCTTTTTCCTTAAAACAAGCATATCCATGGTTTGAATGAGTCTTTTTTCAATATTTGAAACATCAGTTTCTGAAACTTCCCTCATGAAATATTTCATTGAAGTATAAGGATAATTGACAGCACCAAATCCTGATAAAAGGGCCATTACAGTAACTCCAATTACTCCTATTCTGGAGACTAAAGATTCCATGCTAAAGAATCCTTGATTTGGATGGTTGATTGGGAAAGGGTCTCCAATTTTCCAAAATACTGCTAGGAATATTAGCCAAGTGAGGATGGTGAGATGTTTAACATAATCACTCCTAACTAAAAATAGTTATTTTAAGTCTAAATACAGGGTGTATAATTGAATATACAGTGTGTTTCCTAAGTACAGTTGATTGAGTGATTATTCCAGGCACTTGATTCCAATCAAGAGAGCCAGGAATAATCAAAAATTGAAATTAATCAATTATGATGCCATTTTGTAGCTTCTCATATTGACTTCATATGAGCCACCCTCTAATGACATTCAATTAAAAAACACACCCTGTATAATAATTTACCATATCTAATGTTGCTTATACAATAATAAGCAATATAAAAAGGATTTAGCACTATAACTACAAACAATAGTAGATACAGCATCAAGCACCAGTAAAAGTATCTGGAACTGAAATTTAATAATTAAGTAAAATAAGGACAAAAACCCAATTATTACCTTGCCTCCAAAAACCCTAAAATTTCGAATATAATCAGTTCGAACATGGTGCAAGATAGAGTCAGGGTGATGCTAAAAATGAGCTGCACCATTACGTGCCGGACTTCGTAGTCTTTGAACAGTTGTTTCATGAAAAAGAGCCATGCTCCAATGAAAAACAGAACCTGGAGTACATAGATAAATAGTTATAGTTTTATCTATATCTATAAGGAATGTGGAAAGTTATACTTTACCGCACACTGTGTGGGTAAAGAAACTTTATGCAGTTGAGTAGTGTACAGTAAAGGGTACTTTACTGCACGCTTATACATCAATATGTGTTTCTACTTACTTGTGAGGAAAATACCACGACGCTGTCGGTCCAAAAAGTCATTTGTAATGTTGCTCTTTCGCATTACTTTAATAAATTGCGAAATTAATTGAGTTTTGCAAGAAAACAGTGTTTTTCCTTGGAGAATCACTTTGTTTGTTTACTTTTTAGGTTATGTTTACGTGTACTTGAACAACACACTGTCAGCTGCCAAAAAAAAAAATATTGTTATCTCTTTCTATTCGATGGTATTAAAAAAAGATGGATAATGTTTACACAAATAGGAACAGCTGATTTCTGACATTTTTAAAAATAAATAATTATTTAAATTAATTAGTTATTAACAATATAATTACGGTTTTTTTTAGAATGAATTAAGGGCAAATATTATTAATACTCGAGCAGCAAAACAATGTAAGTTTTGTAATTTTATTAATGAAAGTATTTTGAACATTTAAGGGTCAGTTTCTCAATAGCGAGTCACTTCCAGGTTTATTTTATTTAACTCCAGGATAAACGTGTCCAGTTGCAATGTAGGGGTGACTTGTTATTGAGAAACTTACCCTAAGAGAAAACATTTTCCTAAATATTCCCATTTACCATATAATTTTATATTATCTCTTATCCCCCTTTATCATACAGAACTTGTATTAAATTCTTGGTATACCTACTTGTAAACTTTGTAATTCTTAAGGCCGGTTTACATTTTGTTAACTGCAAGTGTCTATAAATGCTAATTTGACATGTTGCACCTGCTACTAATGGAAGTGTAAACCAGCCTTAACTAGCAAATGCTAATAAAAAAATTTAAGATTCAAAGGGATTTTCTCATGCATGTTGCCATTTTCTATTGAATTAATTAATTTGAAATTTTAGTATGATGAACCTCTAAGAGGTGTGTGAACCTGGCGCCCGACTTTGACGGATGCTAATAAAAATATGATTTTCTGGAGATACAAACAAAGTAATTGATTGTACCGAAAATGATTTTGTTTGTACCTCTTGGGAAATGAGGTAAAACACTTATTTATTCCGCGATCGGCACTCAATTTCCGAAAAAAGAAAATTCAACGTTTTTCGAGAGGTACAAACGAAGTACTTTATGGTACCAAAAACTATTTTGATTGTACCTCTAAATAAGTGTTTTTTCCTCATTTCCGAAGAGGTACAATCAAAATAGTTTTTGGTACCATAAAGTACTTCGTTTGTAGCTCTCAAAAAACATTGAATTTTCTTTTTTCGGAAATCGAGCGCAGATCGCGGAATAAATAAGTGTTTTTACCTCATTTCTAAAGAGGTACAAACAAAATCATTTTCGGTACAATCAATTACTTTGTTTGTACCTCCAGAAAATCATATTTTTATTAGCATCCGTCAAAGTCGGGCGCCAGGTTCACACACCTGGTACCTACTTAGTTTCTCTGATAGTATCTCTAAAATTTCTAGAACCAAATATGCTGGAGCCGACTTAACCAAATATAGACAAACTATATAGTTTTAGAATCGGAAAATTGTGCTCTTCAAGAATATAGAATGAAATATATAGGGCATCCCATTCGAAAAAAGCTGAAAGCATGCAACATTTCACATTTCTGAAATTCAACTTTTGTTTCTGACCATGGATTCTAGAAATTCAGCAAATACTGTACAACTTTTGTATTTACATCTTTCTTCTACCTGTAAAGCTAAAGGCTGTAGGTGGGGTGTCAATGTTTAAAAAAACACCCTGTATGCAATAGGATTTATTTTTGTTGTACCTATTCAATAATCTAACATTTCAAATCTCTTGTTACTTAATTTTGTTGTTTATACCAGGCTCTTGAATTCTTATTTACATGTTTTCTTGTTCTAAATTTGAAAAAAATCCAACATTTTGGATTAAAAACATAAATAAAATTGCCTGTTTCAATATTCTGTTCCAATAGTTTCCCAACAGCAAAGTTTTTAAATCAAAAAATCAGTAGTTCAAATTTAAAACTTTTTTCTATCTATTTGGTAAATTTCAATCCACTCCCTTATACCTTTTTCTCAAATTCAATGACATCAATACATATTTGGCCTGGTTTTCTTAAAAATTGATAAGCTAATCGTACTAAAATTTCAAATTAATCCACTAGAAAATAATCACAGGAAAAATTCATGGAAATTAACTTTGAAAAACTAAATAAAATATAAATACCTACATGATCTCACATTCTAATGGTTTTCTCAAAAACTGATAAGGGTTCCAGGTTCTTGTTATGACTTCATATAATTCTGGATTCCAGTGTCTTTTCCTCACAAATCTTGCAGATTTTATATTAAAACTCTTGGCCCTCCTGTAACAAAAAGTTTACAATTTACGATTTCTTGTTAGGAAAAATTGTATTCTCAATAACTTACCTTAATACATTTGCCGATAATTGTAAGTTTAAGCCCAATTTCCACACCACCCTAGAGGTACGAGCTGTCGGCGCGTTTTTTTTTTTCAAGTGCTTTCCCCGTTAGGCCTAATGCACTTTGAAATTACACTTGTACAGCCAAAACCGTCAACTATCCATTAATCCAACCGTCACTTCTCAGCTAGGAAGACACCACTGCAAACACTTACCATACTTACGGTGTATATTTAGTGCAACAAATGAGGTCCAGGGCAACTATGGCATTAGGCTCCCCCGGGGCTTCCCTGCCTTAAAGATTCAGTCGAATCATGAACTGTTTTTCGGGAATTGACACATATGTAATTTCACCTGGAAGAGAAAAGTTATAAAAGTTTAGGATCCATGCAGTCAGTTGTTCCATGTCCAGGGTGACAACCATTTTGCAAGAAGTTCAGTGTCCAAAGTAGTGATGACCTAACTGAAAAGATGTTTAGACAAAATGGACATAGAAAAGAGAAACCTGGAATGTTAGATTAGTATTATTTTTATGCCTGACAAATACAAAAAATGTATTATTATTATTAACCACCCAAAGTGATCCATTGGTCCAGAGCCAAAACTATTCCCAACTGAAAAAGGACAATTTGTATCATATCCACCAGGGTCAAAATCAGTTCACTTCCTGGTTCAATTTGGAAAAGGGATTGCCTGAAAAAACAACCTTAATATTAGTCAAAATTCAATGTTTTATAATAAAAATTACCTCTTGATTCAACTTCCAGTATCCAACAACCTGAAAAAAATATAATATCCAACAGTGTCCAGAGCATCCTACTCTAGAATATCCAACAGTGTCTAGGGCATCCTACCCCAGAAAGCATAGAATCCTCATAAACATATCTACATATTTTTCTGAAAAGCATGAAAATCAAAACAACATGGTTTTAAATGTATTCGATGTTCTGGAAGCTGTAATGTTGCTGTTTATAATCTGGAAACAACTTATATCCAAGAAGCTGCATTATTGATGTTGATCTTCATCTGGAACACACAAACCAGAATTATCCAAGAGAGCATTTAGCTGTTCCGTGTCCCTTCTGGGCTTGATCTAATATCGAAATTACATTGTACCAACACCCAACAGCATATCCGTGAATTCAACATGCTCTCGCCCGTATGTTTTGCCGACTGCTACACATACCCGTGAGGTATATTAGTGCAACAAATGAGATCCAGGACAACTATGGCATTAGGCTCCCCGCGGCGCAGCTAGTACCGAAAAGAAACGTTCAAACCACCAATGTTGAAGGATATTGGTGAAATGAAACTTCAATTTGTTGATTGAATGAAAAGTTTACAACCAAATGCTCAATTATTGTATGTATGTGGAGAATGTACCTACCATTATTACCTTGCGTTTTTGCTTTTGAGACTTACACGCTTCAATTCAGATTTTCACTAGAAATAGTTGAGAGCCTATTTTACTTGATTGGGTTTAGAAGATTCTCTGTCAGATGACATTAGAAGGAGAGGCTCACCTAAGGAATAAAAGTGGCCCAATTTTTATGGATATCAATGAAATGCACTTTTTTATATATTTTCTTTTTCTGGAAAACCACTGATGGGAGAATTATGAAACTTCCAAAGAAAAAAAAGGAGGTTATATAAAGTGCTCCTTATAATATATTTTGACTTTTGTGAGTTAAAAGCTGAAATTTTTACAGAATGTATGGTTTTATTATGACGTGATCATGAACAATTGCCCATATCTTTGGTAAATTTTGAGCAAATTGAAATAAATTATATACCTACCATCGGAAAGAGAATTAAATTCTCTATAAATCTGTGTAAAACTGAGTTTGATTGCTTAAATAGTTTTTGAGCAATTGAGCCTCAAAGTTGACTTTTAGTCCAAATTTTTGGGCAATCTACTATTAGCTCATCATACTAAAATTTCAATTTTTTCCAGTAAAAAATTATAAACTGGAAAATTAATGAATATGTAAGTATCTACCTGTCAAAATAGTTCTTATCATAGGCCCCTTAAGAGTCATTTCACCCATTAAATTTATTAAAATAATACATGATTAACTTCAGATGACTTTTGGATCCTGTTTGCTTACAGGGGGTAGGGGGGGCTCACCTGGAAAAAATAATACAGCGGCAGAAAAATTGTTCATGTACCTAATATATGTTTAAGTATTCAAATAAAATTACAGATTAAGTAACATAGAAACCACACTATAAAAATCAATACGTTTATTTTGTGGTTGACCCACCTTGTATCTAATTACGAACCAAATGACAGATACATTTGTTGCATATTTCCAATTTTGTTTTTACTGTAGTCGACCCACCCTGTATCTGATTACAAATACCAAATGACAGGTAAATTTGGTGCATATTTCCAATTTTATTTTTACTGTAGTCGACCCACCCTGTATCTAATTACAAAACAAATTTGGTGTATATTTCCAATTTTGTTTTTACTGACACATAGCTCTAATTACAAATTAATGAACATAAAGTTTCAGCTTTTACAATCAAATCTTGAGAAAAAAATGTCCAGATTTTTCCAGTTGGCCCTTGGACATTCATTAGGCCTACTAATTAACTATTGACCGGATTCTCATAAATCTTTTATTGACTGGCTTTTCAAGGGTGCCTACCCAATACCCCCATGAGTGTCTCAAAAAAATTGAAAAATATCTGTAGATGTTTATGTATTATTTTGGAAATAGCTGAAAATGTTTGGTGTACCTACTACCACTAGCAATTACCCACAGGTTAGAGTTAATTTGGGTTAGTTTGGGTTGTTACTAGTGGTAGATGCTATTGAAATTTGAAATAATTGAGACTTATTTTTGTAGCTATGGATTTAAAGTAGCTGGACAAAAATCAATTTTTTTGGGACACCCTAGCATTCTATTTCCAACAGTACCTACACTACATATCATCTAGAACCCAGCATCATTCTATCTCACAACAGTCTACATCCCTGGATCATTCATTTCTCACACAACTCATCCATATACTTCCTTCATTAACACACTTTTGAAAAGCCAAATCAAAAAAAAAATCACGAAATTAAAATAGACGTGAAAGATTTTCCGGAAAACTAATTTTTGTTGGACTCCCTGTATAATTTACTTATTGCCTATTATAGTTATAAAAAAAAAAAATAGTCGCGATAGATTTTCTGAAAAACTAATTTTGGTTGGCGACCCTGTATAATTTACTTATTGCCCGCAGTAATAGAGAATCAAATAAATCACTATTTAAATTTGAAAAAAAAAAACATTAAATAAGAAAGTTCTGAATTGTTCCATAATTACCAAAAAAAAAAAATAATTGTTGGTACCACACCACTTACCAAAAATCCAGTAGTAGTACTATGGGCACATGACACAATAATCTGAAAATAGCCGCAAAAGTCTTAACTTGTTAGAAAAAAATCGATAATTCCACGAGCGCGACTTTACTTGTTGGCGTTCGGTACTCAACTGCGAATCGTGACAAAGAAACCCGAATCTAAACCCCCAAAAAAAAGGGTAAACAGATTAAGTAATAAACATGAGTAAGTGAGATGCACAAAAAATGCTAACTGCGTAGTAGATTTAGTATATCCCGTATCTCAAAGGCACATAAGTGTGTAAATCCCCTGTTTCTAGTTAGTTTACAGGGCCGTATTATTGTTTTTTTTTTTAATGTTGCAAATAGGTTTGTTTCAATAAAGCATATACCATCAAGATTCCGCACAATTTGTATACAGAGTGACTCCGAACAGTATACTTTCAATTTTTGTCTCTTCCAGGTTTTTTAATTGTTCTGGAGCCTTTTAAAATGTTGCTAAATGGCTTATTGAAGTTCTAAAGTGTTCTAACTTGGCTTGAAGAGTTCTGGAGCAGTTTAGAAGATTTTCAATGATTTTTAAATTGTTCTGCCGGATTTTTAGGTATTTTATTGGAGCTTCAAAGTGTTTTAAATTGGTACAAAAGAGTTCTAAAAGGTTTCCAGTTGTAAATTGAATCCTAATAGTCCAGGAGGCAGTGAAATTTTTTAGCACTTATTTTCCCAGTTGGTGTCTATCAAATAGTTTGTTCTCCAGGTGATACAAAGCAAGAATTTTTGAGTCTGGTCCAAAAAATCGTAACTCCATTAATAATAACTCAATGGTTTTGAATTTTTGGTATTTTTTACATTGAACCTTGAGGAAAAAGTCCCCAAAATTTCAACTTTCTAGTCAATTTAGTTTTTCAGTGAAAAAATTGTTTGTAAAGTCTTACTTTACAAAACAACGTTATTTCCAAAAAATCGTAACTCCATTAATAATAACTCAATCGCTTTGAGTTTTTGACATTTTTTACACTGAATCATTAGAAAAAAGACCCTAAAATTTCAACTTTCTACTCACCTTAGTTTTTGAGTGAAACAATTGTTTGTAAAGTCTTACTTTATAAAACATCATTATTTTCAAAAAATCGTAACTCCATTAATAATAACTCAATGGCTTTGAGTTTTTGGTATTTTTCACATTGAACCTTAAGGAAAAAATCCCCAAAATTTCAACTTTCCACTCACTTTAGTTTTTGAGTGAAAAAATTGTTTGTAAAGTCTTACTTTACAAAACATCATTATTTTCAAAAAATCGTAACTCCATTAATAATAACTCAATCGCTTTGAGTTTTTGACATTTTTTACACTGAATCATTAGAAAAAAGACCCTAAAATTTCAACTTTCTACTCCCCTTAGTTTTTGAGTGAAAAAATTGTTTGTAAAGTCTTACTTTATAAAACATCATTATTTTCAAAAAATCGTAACTCCATTAATAATAACTCAATGGCTTTGAGTTTTTGGTATTTTTTGCATTGAACCTTTAGGAAAAAGTCCCCAAAATTTCAACTTTCCACTCACTTTAGTTTTTAAGTGAAAAAATTGTTTGTAAAGTCTTACTTTACAAAACATCATTATTTTCAAAAAATCGTAACTCCATTAATAATAACTCAGTCGCTTTGAGTTTTTGACATTTTTTACACTGAATCATTAGAAAAAAGACCCTAAAATTTCAACTTTCTACTCCCCTTAGTTTTTGAGTGAAAAAATTGTTTGTAAAGTCTTACTTTATAAAACATCATTATTTTCAAAAAATCGTAACTCCATTAATAATAACTCAATGGCTTTGAGTTTTTGGTATTTTTTGCATTGAACCTTTAAGAAAAAGTCCCCAAAATTTCAACTTTCCACTCACTTTAGTTTTTAAGTGAAAAAATTGTTTGTAAAGTCTTACTTTACAAAACATCATTATTTTCAAAAAATCGTAACTCCATTAATAATAACTCAATCGCTTTGAGTTTTTGACATTTTTTACACTGAATCATTAGAAAAAAGACCCTAAAATTTCAACTTTCTACTCCCCTTAGTTTTTGAGTGAAAAAATTGTTTGTAAAGTCTTACTTTATAAA